CTTTTACTTCATGTTTCTAAAGTTCAGAGCTATTGACATTTTAAATCAGATGATGCATTGTGTGTGTGTGTGTATGTTTGTGTGTGTGTATGTGTGTGTGTGTGTGTTGTTCTGTTAACTGTAAAACAAAGCAAGAACATTACAAACTATACAGGGTTTCAAATCAAATGATAGGAATTAACAGAGGTTGTTCCATTACATATTTTATCTTCAGTGAAGTTGCTCAGATTGCCAGGTGTAAGAATGGAAGATTGATCAGACCATTAAAGAGGATAGGAAAATAATAATTTTAAAAAAACTAGAGACAGTACAGAGTTTCACTTTTTGCATGCTTACATCTGGTAATCTGAGCAACTGATATGAAGACATTTTACTTTTGGATAATACTGAACTTTAAATTACCAGGAAGTATTATTTTAGCCATTTTGCATTTATAACTTACTGTGAATGAGTTTCTGATATTTTGAAAAAAATTTAAATATCACAGAACAATCATAATGTTTTCCAATAAAGAAGTATCTTTCTCTGCTTGAATTGTCAATTTCGTGCTCTGGTAGTACCGTGGATGAAATGCTAGTATAATAATTCATTTCAGAAAAGAACCGTTGGCTGAAATAGTTTCTAGGAGATTGCATTTGTGTACCCTGAAGTTCTCACTTTGGTACAGGTGTTCAGCAAAAGTGAACACTGGACTCACAGAAGGAACCCTGGTTGGGATGAAGAGCCACGTAGCAATGTTAAGAGAGCACCAGAGGCAAGGACTGTCATTAATGTGTCCTTAAATCTATTCACACTTCAGGTTTTTTTTAACTCCAGTTTTTTAAAATATATGAGGACAGTGGTCCTGCTTACTTTGCAAAGTTGCTGTAAACATAACACACACAAGGTTCTAAATAAATGTGTACATGAAAAATATGAAGTAGTCAGGACTCCACTGTAGTTTCTCTATAATTTTCTCATAACCTTCAGTTACAGTGGGCTGCACATGCAGGCAGAAATATTTGGAGCTGGACAGTCAGGTCCCTATTAGATAAATATTTATCAGTCAGTGCTCATTAAAGCAACATATTTAATGCAAGATACACAAGTACAGTGACTCCCCAGATTTGCAGGGGTTATGCTCCTAGAGCACCCACAAATTGTGAAAGACTGAATTTCAGATAGGGTCAGAAAATGCCTATGTATGCCTATTTTTATAGTTGAGACCTTAATTATACGATGCCTCTCACAGTTATATAATTTAATAAACTAATGTATTAATAAAGCCTTAGAAGGGCAAAGTATATTGGCAGCATCTTAAGGATCTTAGGGCTTTAAGAAGAACAAAATCAAGAACACTGGAGATAGCCATTTATGCAAAGTATAGCTTCTTTGGAGATATATCTATGCATATCTACCTATGCCTATATCATTTATATCTGTATCAATATCCATATCTATATCGTTTATATCTGTATAGAATATCTATAGGATAGATATAGATAGATAGATAGATAAATATAGATAGATCCTTCCCAAGTCCTCTTTCCCACTCCCCTTGACCTTTATACTCCCTGAGTAGATGCCCAATGGTGTAATTTGGACAAAAAAGGGAAAAAAAATAAATCCTAGGTGTGGCCATGAGATCTTCCATTGGTGCATTTCAGTTTTTCTACATGCCCTCACTCCCTTCAGCAAAAACAAACAAATAAATGTACAAACAAAGAAAAATGCTCAATTCTTCCAACCCAAATAAAAGATCAGTTGCATAAATTCTTACCCTGAGCAATTATAGTCCTTTATATACTTCCAAGTTAACTGTCACCCTATCAACTTTTCTGAATTTCTTATCTCAAAGATAGCCAGCAACTTTGTACTGCCCAGTACTATCTTCTACTTGCACATGTATTCTCTGTTAATCAAAGAGTAAAGCCTATCAACCCACTTTTCTGCTGGATACAAAAGCCCTAAGACTTCTTATTTTCTGTCTTTCCACATGTGTCTGTTGTCCTATGTTCTGACTTTGAGTTATTTATTGTTTGGCTCTAAAAATTCTCTGGCTGAACTTCTCATTTCAGTACTGTGGGTAACTCACATGCCTATCTTCCCAGCTCTTATCCATTTTGGGCCCATATTTCCAACCAGCATCTGAAGTTCAACATGTCTGCACGTGCTTTGATCTATTATATTCTAACACAAAAAATAAATAATTTAAAAATTCCAGTTATGATTAACTTCACTCCTCACATAACATCAGCATTTTAAGTTAGGGAAAACGCGTTGAGGCAACACATACACTTAGTAATATTTCATTGCTAATTAGCTTAAGTTTTTGTTCCCCTCTGAAAGCAACAATGCTGAGTCACTTTCATGACATGGTTCTTAAATTTGGCTCTGGGAATCTTAGAATTGGTCAAAGTTATATAATTTAATAAAGATGGTGGGAAATACAGGCTGTGTGTTTTTGTTAGAAGCCAATAGAGCAATAAAAGAGTAAAGCTGGAGCCTCCTTAAATTCTTTTTAGGAATTGGAAAAGTGGTATGCTACCATCAGGCCAAAAGTCAGTCATGTTTAATGGGGCTTTGAGTGACAAGAAGGATAAAATCTCTGAGGATTCTGGGAACCATGTGGGGTTTGAAGACTGACATTTTTTATCTCCTTGGCCCAGTAAGTTTGTATAAAAATAAATTTTTTTTGGTTTATAAAGTCTTTT